GTACAACCGCCTCGCCTAATGATCACGTACGTCCGCCTCATTGGTTTTCGATCACGATTATTACCGTCATTGCCGCTTATTATTTCCACGGCGAATCAGCGATGCTCGCTCGAGCGTCCACGCTGCAGGCCCTTGAACTCTCTCTCACTCTCTCGCTTAGGGATCTCCGTTTGATCGTATCCTATTCAACCAACCACTGTATACGTATTTATCGAGACAGGAAGGGGGCAACGAAAATCTCACCGTGTATAATTAACCATTCTTCGAGATTCTTCTATGGCGTAAATGAAAGATGACGAAGACTTTCGCTTCCTCGACTCTTCGTTCGATGCACCGTTATCGTCGATAAACTAAACGCGAAGAGGAGGAGGAGAAGAAGTATAAGAAGAAGAAGAAGAAGAGAGGCCGTTTCCCCGATGTGGCAGCAGCCACTTCGACGTAGGGACCGCGTGTTTCGGCCGTGTCCGCTCGTCCTCTCGAAATAGCATATAGTCAGGCCGACGTGAGACTTCGCTTATTCTTGACCCATCGGCTAAGTATAGCCCGCGACAGCTCGAAAGAAAGAAGCAGCAGAGAGAGAGAGGAGAGAAGGAGAGAGAGAGAGAGAGAGAGAGAAAGAGAGAGAGAAAGCGGTATTCTCTCCTCTGTACGTCCGCGTTGGTCGTCAGCAGGATCCAGAGATTCTCTGCTGCTAGTCGTCGTCGTCGTCGTCGTCGTCTGATGTTCTTCACTGTGCAACGCGTGGAAGAGACGAGGAACGGCGTAAACGTATAATTGGCTGCACTTAAATCTCTATAACGCGGCAGTAAAAATGCGCGGTGCGCCGCGTAAATCAACACGAGGACGATATGGCGTATCCCACCCTAACTCTCTCTCCATCTCACTCTTTTGCTCGTAAACGCATGTGCATAGGGAACACGCGTGTGCACCGGCCCGCATGCCGTCGACAATTTTCGCGACTTTCCGCCACGCGATTTATCGCTGCGTTAAATTTCACCTCGATCCTCTCTGGCCAAGTTTAATTTCCGATGACTATGGTAGCCTGGCCTGGCCTGCATACCGGAGACACTTGTCTCTCTGTGTTGCTCGGTGAACGAGGCAACGTTTTACCATGCTGCTCAAGAGAGGGACTTAACGTCGATCGCGGACGGAACTACTACGTGGAACTACACTCGTCGATCCTGATCGGATCAGCGGCTAGAGAAACGCGGCTTCGCCTTATCAGTGACGGGACGTGGGCTGTTGGTCACGCGTGAATAACGACGCAGCCGGATTACGCGCGTGGCACGACTCCGGTTCGGAACGCGTGCAGTCGGTTAGGATTCTTAATTGCGCGTCGTTACTCCACCGGCTGGGAAATTAGATGTATCGTATGTTGGATGCGTATCTCCTCGTTCCGTACGAGCATTCCTACTCGGTTTATCGCTTGTGAGTAAAGGTGATGTATAGGAATTGGTCGGGGTGGGATGGTTGGCGTTATTGGTGATGCGACTTTTACTTCCTTCTTCACTTTCGTTTCGAACAGTTGTAACGCTGCCGCGTAACTCTGCGATATTTCAGTGGTACGCTATTTACGAGGTGTATTTAGTTGAACATTGTCGAGTTATAGATTCATTCATCTTGCAGGAGATTAAACGGTATAATTGGAGATTGCTGTCTTTTAACACTGTATAATGTGACTTGCGAGTTACTTAGCTATTTATCTATATTTTACGAGTCTCGTTTTATTTGTTTATACTACTGTATTATTACTATTTCTTTGCTCCTCGCGTGAAAATTTAAAATTTTGCGATAAAGAGTTAATTTCTTATCACATCATTTTCGGTACTATTCTTTGTACTTAATTTTATCGATCACTGCTCATATCATATAATTTCCAATGCTTATTTTCCCCTGTACGAGAAAGTAAAGGTCCCAGTTCCTATTAAAAATAATCGTACAAGTGTTTCTTCCCATATTCCACTGTCCAAATTCGCTCCTCGGAGCAATAGACGCACGCTTCTTAGAGAAGGTGGCTCTTTAGCGGCGCGTTCGTCTTCGGTTTCTTGTACAGGATGGAGAGGTTCGTTTTTCGGTGGGATTAGTTCCTCTCTCCCTCTAACACACGCGGAAATGAGAAATTCCTGACGAGCGGCAGCGGAGCACGGCTTCTTCGGCCGATACGTCAGGGCACGGTAACGGCGGCGTACGATCGGCACGCTACATTAACTCGATTCACCGAGTAAATTAACTGCAATCAGGGGGACGGTCCGCTGGCCATTCCGTTATTCCGCTAGCCGGCTGCCGGCCGTTCCGCGCGCCTCTAGACCGCTCTATTCGCTTCCACACGGACTCGCCATTACGAGCTGCTGGAACAACGGGCTACGACTGCGAGAGGATCTAACGTCGTTTTTGTTGCGCGTACAAGGACCACCGCAAACGATTCTCTCTCCCTCTGTGTCTGTCTTTGTACGCTGGACGAAAACAGCCGGCCAAGAGGAGGGAAACGGATCGACGCCAAGACTCCTGGCTCCTTGTGAATCCAACCGTGAGGACTCGACGCGATGACGTGATTTCTTGGCCCGTTATTGCCCGATTGCATGAGCCTAGTCTTCCTGTTCGATGGCTTATGCCAGTTGCGTCTGTCTTGCCGCGTTCGCTTCTCCATGTATGTTGGATTAGATGGATTCCGGACAGAGAATTTCTCGTAAATTGATTATTTGATTATCTGAAGCAGTGCAAGCATAAAAATTCGATAGACCGATGTAGGGTTATCGCGTCGAATTGATTAGTTGCTCGATTTTTAACTCTGGGGTGGTTTGGTGGATTTTTATGAAAGAGCCTTAGTTTGTCTCACCTTGCCAATTTTAAATTCGTGGGGTTAAGACGATGCAAGCATAAAAATTCTTATAATCGTTATCTAATAATTGTTATAATCAGCCACGAATGCAACGATACAAAGAACATAGCAAAGTTTCTAATTTCAATTTATCGAGTGATCATTAAATCTGATTCTAATAAATAACCCACGACGGTAGAGTAAACGAAGACTGTTCCAGAATAAACAACGAAACCTTTCTCACCCTCCGCGTTTCTTCCCAACTCCCGATCGATCACGCCGGAAACGAAACTGTCTGAAATATGAATCACGAATAAAGTGACCTCCCCCGATTGTCAGTCGATCGAGCCGCGGACGTTTAAAAAAAATTCCCGTCATCCTTAATTGAACATTCCGATGCTCTCTCTCTCTCTCTCTCACCCCTCGGTCCATTATTCCGCGCTGCGGGACGAAATACGCCGTCAGATCTGGAATCTCGTCGGCGAAATCGAATGGCAGGCAGTCGACGGTAGTCTGATCGAAGTCGATCGTTTTTCTCCCCTCTGGTTTTCTCCGTCCCTGGTCCAGGGAAAGCGGCGCAAACTCCTAGGATAACGTCGTATATACCTTCGATTTCCATCGATCTCCCGTCGTTTTCCACTCCGTTCGCTCCTATTGCTACGACGGACAAATTTTTCGTCCCGCTGCCACCCTTTTCGCCGGACGAATTCAAAGTTAATCTCAGCCACGAGACCGTTCCTCTTGGTGTTCGCTAGGGGTGGCCAGAGGCGCCCCCGGGCGACCTGTCATCGTGAACACCCCTGGGAGCACCGGGCTGGCTCACCCTGATCTCTCTGTTACGATAGAACCTTGGGAACCGGAGCCTTGGGCAGCACGATAAGGCTCGGTCATTTATAATCCGTCGGCGTAAGTAGCCTTTCTGCCGTTCCTTCTCCTTCCGCGCGCAACGGAGAAAGGAATAAAGGGAACCTCGGACTTCCGGCCGTTCACAATGAGATCGATCGAACGGGACGCCAGGTGAATTTCGATGATCGCCTTCCCTGTCCTTCTGATCGAGACTCCGTTTCCGTGTACTATTTTTAAACGGTGCGCCCGATAGGCGATTGGTTTTAAGTGACAGGACTCGGTGAAATACGTCTGATCACAGGATTTCTTGTTCTACTTGTTTAGGAAAGTGGAATTGTTCTCTTGTTTAAATTTATTAGGTTAGATCGTATTATGTAGATCAATATTTCCAGTATTTCCATAAGTGCCTTCTAATTCTACAACTTTTTCCTGTTTCCTTTTTGGTAAGACCGTTATATCGTCGCTATAGAATTTCCATTGAAACATATTTCTCTTTCGGTACGAACTTATGGGATGACCTAATACTTTAGGGAAGTTTAGATAATTTTTTATATTGCAAAATGTTTTAGGTAATTATTGATATTACAAAAAGCTAAGATCAACAAGCCAGCTGATTTATGAACGGTAGTTGTATGTTGTTTAAATTCGACAAGAACGTTATAAAGCGTCTTTTTTCCAAAAGCTCCAATTTCCCTGCCGGCGATCTGGTTCATCAGCAGAACCCTTAATTAATGCGAGGAATGGATCTGACGGAAAACGGAGCAAAGGGATGGGGGGGCACCTGGAAATGGCTCCGGTCCGATAATTTATAAAAATGATATTTGCCTCGGCGAAGCGTGACCGTAAGCCGTCTTAATATCTCTCATTACCGTCTCGCTGCTCGAGTCCCCGGTGACCGTGCAATTAAAAAGCTAAGATTGATAAATGACGGGGAATTAATGCGGCCAGGGGGATGGAGGGTTTGCCGAGGGTGGGGGTTAGAAACGTTTAGGGGGGCCAGCGAGCGAAAGAGGGACAGGGTGATTGCGGGTGGCTTAATGGTGTTTGTATGCATGGGAACCAGCCAGTCGGGGGTGAGGTAGTTATCGCTCTCGGTCTACTTTGCAGCTGAAAATCGGGACGTGGTTTAAAGTGCTCGAAAATCTCGCCCTTAATAATGCGTTCTGACGCCTCGAACGAGGGAGGGATGATGTACAGTAACGACCTTGTGATTTATTTTCTCCAATTTTTCTCCTCGTTTCTAACATTTTCTCGTTCACCTTTCACCCCGAGTATATTTAGAGAATTTTGAAAATCTGGAAAATGTTGAAAATGTGTGTCTTTGCTTTGATTACAGGTGACGCGAGTAACGCGAGTATCGGCAGCGGCGAGGGCACCGGTGAGGAAGACGACGATTCGTCGGGAAAGAAGAACCAGAAGAAGAGGGGCATCTTTCCTAAGGTCGCGACCAACATCCTCAGGGCGTGGCTGTTTCAACACCTCACGGTAAGTGTCTCTTGCATGCGTCTTTCGTCGTGTCGTACGTCTCGACGACGTACCTCTGTCCGCGAGTCTCGTGGACGTGTGCTGTCTCAGAACGACGTGCTCGTCGTTCGTCGTCCTCATCAACGACCGTGTTTCCCTCTCACCTCGTGTACCCCGCTGAAAACAAACCTAAAAATCACCTACAAAACACTCTAAAAAAGCAACAGCAACAACATCCGAAAAATTCGTCGTACAAAACTGCTCTAGTCGCAACGATTATTCACTTATCAAGCGGCGCTCGAAGGCAACAACGAGCGAAGATAAACGAGGCAACGAAACGGCCCGGGCAAAAAGAAACATTTCCTAAATTGCTTTTACCCGGCGCCCCGGAGTTAAGCTCCGAAACGAAGAGAGAAAAGAAGAAGCCTTGGGTCGAATACGGAAAAACGCGTTTCGGTGCGGAGGGACACACTAATCTCCTAATGCCAAGATAAGGAGCGTTGGTCGCGATGCCTCCTCCTACGCTCCGTCCATCCTCTTCCTACTGTAGCAACTATGGGCCCTTAGCCATCTAATGATTCACGGGTAATCTGAGCCGCAAAAAGCGCAACGCGATTAAAGGGACCAGGGGTGGTGTGTGTGGCGATGGCGGTGGTGGTGGTGGTGGCAGAGAGGGAAGAGTGGCGCGTCGGTGGCCGCGGTTGCGTAACGTTGCGCGGCAATTCGGAGCACGGTACATTGTCCCTCATACTACGGACACCCCATAGATTTCGGGTGTGATCAGGTTACCTTGCGAGAGCGGTAATCATATTGCAGCTCGGTTAATGCCATTACCGCACCGGTAGGGGGGGGATGGTTGGCAGCCACCCTCGAAACCACCCCGCAACCAACGCGTCCCGCCGCGCCTCCTCCCCTTCCCGTTTCTCCGCGCTTCCACGGCGCCCGGCTTCGGCAACCCCCTAACAACGTGTATTGGATATGACGTCGGGGATAGTGGGTTCATGGTTTAATGCATATACGCTGTTTGCGCGATGACGATATCGCGCGATGCTGAAAAGACGAGCCTTCCTGCTACGACTTCCTCTTGGTCGTAGTTATTCGCAGACTCGAGAGCTCCGCGATCCTTTCGCGTGTCGAAGATGGAGGTTTCGATTGGTATTGGGTTGTTGCGCGATATGTGAAGTCGATGGTTGCGGATTGTGTGAAAGTTTGTTTGTGACGGGGATAGAGTAACAAGTAACAATTTTGCCTCGTTCTGCGGTGTTTAGGGAGGAATCGTGTTAGTTGTGTATTTTTCAAGAGATGGATACGTTGGTAGATTAGGGCAATTGTTGAAAGATCGATAGACTGTGGATTTTTATGCATTTATAGGAAATTTGAGGGTAAAAAATTGCACATAATGCGCGTGATCGGAAAAATATCCAAATTATAGTGCTTTTTACAATACCTGACAGGTGGAATAATTTTCTATCGAAGTTCTACTTTTTTTGCTATATTTTCGAAAATATAGATTTGCATCAGAAATTGGTTTGAAAAGTGATGAAAAATCTTCGTCGGAATGTTCGATGAGTTAAGCTTATTGCAGGTGTCGCGTCAAATTGGCGCAGGTGTAATTCTTACCTAGACGAAGAAGAGGATTCTTCGCGTCGGTTTTACGAATCTCGTTTCATCCCGAGCCAGTGGCGCCGATAAATTAGGAACAATTACAAGGTGAAAATAAGAGGAGCATCAGGGGCGTGTTCACGATTCATGGATCTCTGGACGCGGTGTTCCACGCGGCCGTGCTATTACGCGATATCCACTGCCAGAAATTACAGCGGTTTTTCGCGACGGTCGTCTCGGCTGGGCATTCGTCTCGGCGTTATTACGAGCGATTAAGCGACTGTACCGTGAACCGGAATTCATTCGGCGCGCTGGATACATATTACGCCTTAAAAGAGTAACTGACTCGAGCCAAGTGTGTATTCACTCGAGTGCCAGCCTCTTAAAGAGCTCCTTCCGACGTTCCCCCTTTTTCCACCAAACGAATTACGGCCTCAACAGCCTTGATTTAGCGTCCTAATCTTTCTCCCGCGATGACTTACGGCCGCAACAAGGGCTAACATTCGCGTTGCTCACCCCGCGCGACCGTTTCGCCAGTAATTATCACGGAACAGATGTCTGAAACGAGTGTGGCTCAATCTTTGCCGCGGCTAGTTCACCCCACTTACCCATTTCTCCCCTCCCTGATTTTCTTCTTCTATTTTTCCACTCTTTAACTCTTTAACGTCGTTACCATTACCACGTGGAACGTTAAGTGTCATTTCACACGTGAAACGTGTCTCGTGCATTAAGATATTCCGCGTACGCATGTTGTCTCAGAGTTGAAGATTTATAGATAGTTAGAGGGAAAACGTGAAAGTGTGAAATTATCGATAGAGGTTAAACAACAAATTCGCGGTGTTAAGATTAAACCCGGTGACAGGTTTATATCATGTTTTTCACCAACCCTCCAATATCCAATTTCATTTCCATAGATTCACGTATCCCGTACGACGATCACTTTTATCATCACGTAACAAGAGCTGCTGCTTACCAGCCTCTAACAACGTGCACCGCTAACGTTCAGATAAATCAGCTTATGGCCAAAGTTGAATACCAAGCTCGCGTTAGACGGTAAATTTATCAGCGTGAAAGCGAATGCGACGTGGTCGTCGTCTGTTCCGCAGTGTCGTCGTCGTCGTCGTCGTCTACGTCGTCGTGGTGGTCGCTTTCATCGGGAATTCCAGATCGTAGCCGGCCACCGGCCACGTCGTTTCACCCCGTCGCCGAAACATTTCGGAATCGCGGTTGCTCGCGCCAAGGAATTCGTCGGAGCGCGCCAATAACCTGTCCCCGTTCGAGAAAGCCAACTCCAATCCGCGTTCCACATTGACGCAGAAGTAGACGAGAAAAGAGAGAGAGAGAGAGAAAGTGTGTGTGTGTATGCGTGTACTGGACAGGAAAGCGGATCGTTTGCGGGCATAGTTTACATACGGCCATAGATAGATGGCCGCGATCGAATAAGGAGCGAGAAGCGGTCAGATAGACTCGCGTGCCGCGGTCGTAGACGTACGAAAAGAGAAAAACTAGCCGCGGTGTTTCGGCTGACGTTAGATCAAAGGAGACGAATACGCTGCAAAGAGAACTGCACGATTCGAAGACACGGAAAGAACCGTTTGCGAGTTGGCCAGACCGGACCCCTGTACGACTGGGTATAAATTAAATTAATTTGATGGAGGCGGAGGAGTGGCCCTGTATGCACCTTACGTCGCGACTATGTGTTTTCTCGAGTTTTCTTCCTCAGCCTTCGGGGAGAGAGAACGTGTCGAGTTTTATTCGTACGGGAAGGTTTCGCGAGGAATGGCGTAGGTCGTGGAAATTCACGTTAAATCGTGGAAAGTCAGGGTCATCGGGTGAAAGTCGCGTAGAATTCGTGTTTAATCCAGGAAGATTGGCTGTTTAGAGACACGACGAGAGATCAAGTGATTTATTTGTTCGCTGGAAGCCGGTTGAAACATGAATAATTTAGACGTCGTCGCGGATAGAAAGGGTCGACGTTAATTCGATACAAGGATGTTGAAACAAGTCGAGGACGTCGTAACGCCGTCAGAGTACAAAATCGTTTCGGTTGTTCAGGCGAGAGGTCGCCAGAAGAGACGTCTTTCTCCCTGGGTTTCGCTCTCTTGTTCGCCAGTTCTCTCCATCTCTCTCTCTCTCTCTCCTATCTCTGTTGCTCCTTGGCTGTCATTTTGAAAGCCATCCCGACGGCCGCCCCTCACCAACCCGTCCGTACGTCTGTCCGACCAGCCAGCGTACCAACCGACCGACCAACCAACCAACTCTGCGACCCTCCCCAAGTTTAATTAGACGGAAGAGGAGCATACATCATGGTCGACTCCGTGTCCCGACCTTCCATGCCAGCCAACTTGGGCTTTCCAGAATTGTGGCCACCGACCTACTACCACACCACTTCTCTGCCCGCTCGTTCCTTCACGCTCGAGTTTCGGGGACGATGTTTCAAACGGGGCGAGTCTACTCACTTCTCTAGTATCGTGTCCTCCTTTTCGCCAATTCTGTGTCGCGCTGCTTTCAAACGTCAGAGAAGAACGTTCGTACACGAGAATTATTCTTCTTTTTTCATTAAAACACACACACCACCGCTGATCTAATTCTCTGGAAAAGTTATCTCGCGTGAATTCGAATGCCGCATTTCACCGAACCATAGATTCTCTCATCCCCCCGAGAGAATATTCTTACGAAATCTGAGCCAACGGCGGATCCGAACGAAAGAATGGAGAATTCATTACGAAAGTTTCTTCTCGAACGGAGTCGGTAACAATTGCGCGTGGCGCTTCAGCGATAATCCGGAAGTCCGCGCGTCCGGGACGGGGGACGGTGGGAAAAGAAGAAAGATTGAAGATGGAGTCGACATATATAATCCATTTTAATTTACTCGGAAGATATATCCGTCTAGCTTGCAGTTTCCTGCGACTTCGTCGTCGCCTCTCTCTCATCTTCCTTCCTCCTCGTTCTCCCATTTTCTACCTCCTCGATCCTTCTTCGGCGTCGTCCTTATCCTTAGACACCGTAGCCCAGAGTCTTCTTATATCAATGGAAGCATTTCGCGAAATTACATTTGCCAGTGACGCTCCGTTTCGCGTATCGAGCGGGGCGTTTCTGAAATCTGACATTTTTCACCAGCCAATTTATAGTTCTCGTACCGAATCCTTTTTCTCTCGAACCTGCCGGGGACGAAAAATTTTCACGCTAGTCCAGTTGAAGTGTAGAAAATTCGAATGGAAGAGCAAACGACGATTCTTATTGGATGTTTCGTGTTGTAACACGAGAACGGAGCATAGTCGAGGCAATCAATAAGCCATCTAAGGCAGGTAATGCTGCTACGGTACAAACCGCAAACCGGCAATGCCATTATCTGCACACGTACTAACACACACATGTACACGTATATATAGACGGACATGCACGAATACCAGGCAACT